CAGGGTTAGACAGAGGACGAAATTTCAGGGAAATATAAAATGATAGACCTTACAAAGATAATTAGTTTCCAGGAAAACTCGGCTATCACTTTGTATATACTGGCTCATAGGAGGCTATAGGATGACAATTCTAAAATCCAATTAAGCTAAGTGGAGGAAAAGATTGGTTACTAAATCGTTATTCATTGAATCAACAACTAACACGTATAACAGGAATGATTTATCACATATTGTAGAACTGTCGGGTTATATGAATGGATTTCGAAAATTATATGATTAATTTGATATGATTGTGAGGAATATATTGTGCTTGGAACACAATCTAGTGGGTAATACTCCATCAATATGTATCATATGAAATATGCAATCTAATATGGAATTTCTGTTAGGTATTCAATGACTTTTAAAGTGGTAACCAATTTTAATAGGATTTTTTTCAGTCGACAAAGAGAAATTCATACAAGATGGAGATTTCATATAACTCAATGGTTAAACAAGATTCGCACAGTACATTTTGTAAAATATCAACACACAACTCTAATACAGTATAGATTCATAATTGGAGACTGTGGTAGAACATATAATTCCTTATTCGACTAATTACTTACTTCACAAACCATAAAAAGATACAGTATTATTTACAGGATGACATTTCTTAATATCCACATCAAAAGTAATCATTCGACTTTCAAAAATTTGTATTTAGTCCAACAGTTTATTCATTCATCATAACGGTAGTAAACAATCTTTCAGATATCCGCAATATGTGATGAGTCAATGCCTATAACACTTGTAAAGTATCGACTCAATGAAGAAAGTTTTTATGATCAATTTCTCCCCCCACCACCCAGGTATATTGGATTATTAGAATTGTCACCCTTTAATATCCTACAGCGTGACTATGGGTCAGTGTATGCAGAGCGATCAAACATAATTCATTCCCATCAACTCCATCTCCTCGTTCACCTTCACTTCCTGATACTAATTTCAGGCCTTCTACGCCTTACCCAACCTCTCAATCTCCAACCATAACCAGCGATCAAAGCCGTCCAAAATTCATTTCTAGTCTCCCAAGACCCCGTCATCCATTTCATGTAGGAGCTTTCAATGTGCGAACTCTATACCAAACCGGACAGCGAGCATCGCTCGCTAAATCTATGGAATTTCTAGCCACGGATATATGCTGTACCTCTGAGACGCATATACAGGACTCCAGTGTGATTACTAACTTGACCTCATCTGGCATTATAGTAGTGAATCTTCAAAATCCATCCTACAAGTATCCGCAGACCAGATGACTAGCTCTCACAGACTCGCTGGTGTAGACATAGCATTAAGTTGTAAAGCAGAAGGTGCACTTCTTGACTGGATACCAGTAAACAACCGTCTATATGCTATTCGACTGAATCGATTTGTAAGGACTAGGAAGGATGTTGAGACTAGGCGATGCCTATTCATATTCTCCACCTACGTATCCACCGACTGTAGTTCGGAGGATGCAAAGGATGAATTCTATGAAACATTGTCAGCTTTGCTACTGAAAGATGTAACAGATACATCACATTGCAATAACCCATCGTTGGAGAGGGTCGGTGGAGGATTGTCGCTCTTTCTCCAGTACCATTTTGGACTCCGATCACGCACTAGTACGCATCCATGTTTGTCTCCGCCTTACTGGTCGTAAGAAACAACCGGCAGTGAGGCCTGTCTATAGTCAATCGGAAGATGAGAACGCCAAGTCTGAATTCAGAGAAGAGGTAACTAAGCATTTATCTAAACATGACAGAAATCTTTATCCTGAGGAAACCTGGCGTGATATTAGGTTCGCTGTAAAAAACAGGTGTTAAGACAACTGGTAACCTACACCTTAGGATTAACAAACGTCATTGGATTCCAACGACATCATCCGAACTGGTTGATGAGAGAAGACCGATTCTAACTGGCTTTTATTAGGACGAAGAGCGAAATCAACTTAAATGCCAGTTGACTAGGAGTGTTCGCATCGATGGTGAGCAGTGGTGGGTGGTGGTGAAAGCCAGAGAAATGAAGAAGGCTTCAGCGTTGGGTAACACTCAGCAACTATTTAGGCTTATCAAGGACACCCGGAAGAAAAAGAAGAGAATGGTTGGCGAAACCATCATCGAAAAAGATAGGACGCTGATAACCTACCAGGATAGGTGGGTAGAACGTTGAGCAGAACAATTTGAAGCACAGTTCAACTGACCCTCAGGAACGCTTCAATTGTCCAGCACACAGCCTCAACTTGAATAGGATGTAGATGTCAGTCCTTCCAACTCTCCTTGAAGTTGAGAAGGCTGTATTGAACCTAAAACGATGCAAAGCAACAGGACCTCATAGTTTACCACCTGAAGTTCTCAAGCATGGAGGTGGGCAGTTGCTGATTAGAGTGAAGGAGGTACTGGGTAGTGAATGTGAATGAGAGGTAGTGGCGTCAGACTAGTATACTTCACTAATCGTTCCCGTCTGTAAGAAGGTGTAGAAGTTTTCTTGTGACAACCATAGGTGAATCAGTTTGACTAATATTGTGTCCAAGATTCTAGGGTCCGAAGTTATTCGACGTCTACCTGGAGCACGAGAACGGTAAACTCCAGAGAGAACCAGGCAGGTTTCAGACCTGAACGAGAGTGTATCGATCATAGTCCTACCCTCCGACAGGTTCTGGAACACAGGAATACTTACCCGTCAATCGACGACACTTGCCATATTTCTCGACCTGAAGGCGATATTTGACTCCGTCTATCGTGAGGTATTGTGACAGTTTCTGACTGTGAAGAGAGTATCTAGCAAGTATATAACACTAATGAAAGCTGTCTGCTAGAATTCATGCAGCCTTGTGAGGGCTTATGGAGAGTTGTCATGAGAATGGACGACAACTAGTAATGTCCACAGTTGCCATTTCAATTTAACGACGTGATACACGCACTTCTGAATATAACCTTACGTAAGTCTGACTTCACATGGATTGAAAGACTGTCTGAAGGTCATCTACTCAACTTAGAGTATCTAGACGATAATGTCCTTATACGTGAAGACACTGAAAAAAATACAGGGTCTTGTGAACGTATTGAGAAATCTGTTTATGTTCAGCTTGTGTCTACCACCTGTCAAATGTAAGATGATGCTCCAAAACTGATCTGCGAATACTTCTTATTTGAGGATAGAGAGTAAAGTGGTGGAATCTGGCAACCGGTTCACTTATTTGGTGATTTGCATCAGCCGGAACAGGCTGGTTGCTGACAAAATCTCATCTCAGATGCAGAAGGCTCGATTGGTAACTTCCAACTTGCGTCATCTATAACGCCAGCTGGCCGGATATCCGACTGTCTATCAACAGATAAGTGTACTGCGCTGTGGTCTGTCTTGTCCTGTTATACAACTGTGAGACATGACTGTTCAAAGTAGAAGACATAAAGCGGTTACAGGGTTTTGATCATAGGTATCTTCGTGAGCAATGTTGAGGGCAACCGAAGGATACTAGGCAAGAAAGACAAGTAGGTAGACGAGGTTGTGAACCTTCATCTACTGAGGTGGCTTGGACATGTGTTGCGCATGACGAGCCACTGCTCACCTACCTTGAAGTCCCATGCTAGAGGAAGCTGGATTTGGTTGGAACAGGGTTCACAGTAGCCAAACCAAGACGTAGTAATAGTCAATGAGGTCCCTGACTTTCAATCTGAACCGTGTGGGGAGGTGTGGACTACCTGATTAAGGTCCCCGAGTTAATAGGAATCAGGGACCTTTGGTGACACGGCTTAAAATTGGTCATAATGGCGCAGATGTATTCACTCCTTAACATCTTCTAAAGCTTGAATATTCACACTAACTTCTGCCTTCAAACTGTTTGTTCTCTCACATCAGTTTATCTACTTTGATATCACTATTTTTCTATCCACCAGTTCTGTGTGCTACTGTCAAGTGTGGCAACTTGAGCCGGAACATTTATATGAGAGGTTCCACGCTGATCTTGTCAGTAAGTCACTGGGCAGTCAGTGTGAGTACAATCAATCGGTAGCAACGCGTCACGAATTCATACGGTAGTCGGGCAAAAGCCTTGGTGATTGAAGTGACATAAATCTGGTTAGCTGTTGGGTCTCGTTAATCAGTTGGTAGAGCACCCCTCCCCCCCCCGGAAAACCGCTGGTCGCTGGTTCATTTCCTGCGGCGGCCCAAATTTCCATTCCACCTTCAATCATCACCCAGCATCAATAATATGTATTAGCTAGCGATAATAATGCAGTTTACTTTGTAACCTATATCAGTCACAAGAAAGTTCCATAACAACTTTTTGGATATCATACACATACACATTGTTAAATTTGAGGTTAGTCTGCCTCATATTTCACTGTGGTTGGAAAATCTTTCAAAAATTATCACTTGTATTATTGATTTGTTTTCTTACTGTATCTCAAAGATTGATAACATCCTGATGAAATCATTGGAGAATTTGCAAACCATTAATCTAAACAGTCAAAACTGATAGTATGTACTTTAATCAATATATTTACATCAAATTGCTCTTTAATGTCGTTAATTTTATCAATACTGAAAAGCAGTCAGTTATGGTTGGAATTTGCAATTTCCTGATTAGACTATCAACAACTTTTAAGTAAGTGAACTGTCAGCTTTTGGAAAACGTTATAGACATGTAGTCTACAATAAAATGAAATGGATTCTAATATGCTTTGCGTCTTCCAGTATTTTCCCCAAGAAGTTGTGATGTAAACGTCAATTCAGTAGCTTGAACTAATGAATGATAAGGGTATATTACACCGCTGACTTTCTGTAGGACTAGATAAAATTATGGTACAATGTAGCCACATGGTGAAATTGATCCATAGACTTTGGTAAGCGACAAGCATTTGGTGCCTACTTCGATTGCTATCAAGTAAGCAATTCATTTAAGATCATAGGTTAACGGTAAGCTCATCATTCAGTAAACTTTCTTATTATTGTCTAATAATGTGGAAAAAAACACTTACACCACAGGGTAGAATAGCGACAACAGTATAGGATTCAAGGCACATAGTACAGACTTCATTAGATGGTGCTTGTGATTCAACTGCAAATGGCTACAAATGAAAAGATAAAAATGGATAAGAAACGTGAAAGTGAGATAAAAGCATGAAATTATCAAGCCATCTCAAAATAAAACTATTTTTTATTCTGGATGTCTTGTAATCTATGCTTCTTAAACATTTTTTATAGGTTTTAACCCAATCAGAAGACAGTAATTAAGTGATCAAGAAATACAACTCAAACTAAAAACACTGGATCATAAATTGCTGAAATTCATCAGTAATCAGATTAATAGTTTGCTGCTTGAATAACCGAATAAGTAAGCTCGATAGACAACTTCAAAGTTATCGGAATTCACTGCTATGATACATGTTTTCTATTAACTCTAATTATCCATGATTAAATAAGTCAGCTTCACATAGTATGCAGTGATACAGAACTATTTGTTATGAGGTGTTGTCTCGAGTACAGCTTGCTACTGAATCTCTGTCCTTCGAATCAACAGGAACAATTCATTACTAATCCCAGATACGTGGAAAATTCAACTATCATCAAGACTAAAGACTAAAAAGTAACAGAACTTTATTAAAAGAAACCAGAAAATTGTGTGATCACCTTGATATGATTATGAGCAGTAAACAGAGCTGTAAACGGTAACCAAAAAATAATACTATTTTACTATGTCCAAACATAACATAAACTGCAGGTTGGTATTCATCTTGGACTGACATTAGTTAGATGAACATTGGAAACCTGAAAGCGCTAGACAGTTGTATCATCCTAGTATGGAACTCCTCAGCAGCATATTTGTCAGTTTCCGAGGTTAACCTTTTGGTTGATGATGAATTATGTAGACATTTTTTGATGAAGTTGCGTGTACGGCCATTCTTCTGCAAAACAGTCAACAAAAAGTTTTCTTCTTTTCTCGGCAGGGTTGATGTACTACAGTGTTTTTGCACTTTTAAACAACGTTCTAATGCAATTGATTTTGTATGCTGTTGGGTTGTTGCTATTGGAGTTGTGAATTTGGTCTATGTACTTCTGTATACTTCAGTTTCCAATTTCCCAGAATCCATTTTAATGATCAAAACATCTGAAAATATAAGTTTGTTGTTTGATTCCTCATAAATTGTTAATTTGATGTTATCGAAAATGTTGATGCTGCGTGATGATTGAAGGTAAAATGAAAACTTAGACCCCAGCGATGACCGACCATCGAAAATGTTGTTGAATAATTTGTAAGCGTTTTTCAGTTTGTCTCTTTCAATAATGACAAAAGTGTCATGTACATATCCGATCCAAAATTTTGGTTTGATCAATGCTAATACAACAGTTTCCAATCTTCGCATTACTGCTTCTGCAATTAGTCCTGATACAGGCGATCCATTGGTGTTTCCTTTGTCTGTTTGTAGAGTTTATCGTTGAATTGAAATATATTGTAAGGCATAAATCAATTAATCCTACCAAGCTTGAATATTGCAGTTGTGTGCGTTCCGAGAGGTGTGTATCACTTTGAGGAGAAGAGTCATTGTATCCTTAGCCAATTTCGGTTCAATTGAGGTGTGTAGAGCTGTAACGTCGAAAAACACCATCAGTTTGTCTTTATTAATATGAATATGCATGACCTTTTCCAAACATTGTATCGATGAGTTGATAGAGTGGTCGCATGATTCTACCAGATGTTATAATTTTCTGAAGAGTCCTTTTGAAAGATTGTATGCTGGAGTTTCTGGAAGTGAAACAATTGGTAGCAGTGGGATGTTTGGTTTGTGTATTTTTGGCCTACCATAGAAACGTGGAAGAACAGGTTCATTGGATATCATTCGCCATTGCCCTTGTTTTGTAATTTATCCCGCTTTGATGAGCATGTTTAAGGCCTCGGTGATACGGTGGGATTTATCTTCGTTGGTTGGTATGGTATACATTTCGATCCATGAGTAAGTCTTTAACCTTTTTGATGTAGTTGTCTTTACCTATGACTACTGTGGTGCGCCCTTTGTCAGCTGGAATTACAAAGACGTTCCTTTTATTCTTCAGTTTCTTAAGAGCTCTCTGTTTTTCACCGGTTAGTTGAGCGAGGTTTTGTTTCCGCCTGGTCAGAGGTACAATTACTTGTCTTATTTTCCTTTGGGTCTCAGAATTTAGTCCTTAAGTCTTCAACGATGACTCTAGAAATGCGAAGAATTTCGGTTCTGAAGCGCCTCCCTTACTGTAATTTAGTCTTTTATGAAGAAGTTTCCCAGAATTGGTCAGATTTGTTTGGGCAAGTTGACTACGTAGTCACTTGTTTCTTCCCCTTCTGATTCTTGGGATTTCAAAATCTTGGCAAGCTTCTCTCGAAGGATTTTTCTTCTTTGTTTTTTGTGTCGTCTGCTTGACTTTTAAAACGCAGTTGCCAACCCTTTTAAGTGTTCTGCTGTGAGTATCCCCTTGAGTTTTCTCTTTTGGTTTACTATCCTCTGTTGATATTTTCAAATCCTATAATGAGCATTGGTGATCAGGTGTAGCACATGGTTTCCGCTCCTTTCCACTAATTTGCAGCCTATTGGATAGTCAATAGGTGGTTTGTATCCGACACTAGGCGGTATAGCATGCTGGAGTAGATACTCGTGGAGAAAATATAGTTGTTCTCTTGTGAAGGCCTCCCTCTTTGAGAAGGTCTCCCATTTCCGAACAATCAGAAGCGTCTGAGGCTCGTAAGATTTTGAGATGAAGGGGCTCATAAGGATAATTTTGATGGGGTTGTGTTTTCTGAGCTGAACTGTTTAATCAGTTGATCACCCTTTTCCAGAAGAATGGCTGTCCACGTAATTTCATCAAAAGCTGTTTGCATAATTCGTCATCAGCCAAGTAGTCAACTTCGGAAACTAACAAACAGATTGTTCGACCCCACATGAAAAAAGTCTCCGAGGTCGCGACTAGATCACTAAGTCCTTTCAAAATCACTTTAGCTAAAAACTTCACAATCCCACAAGATCTCTTCAGTCTCTATTATGCAGGCCTGAAGATACCATAGCAAAGAAAGACAAACCAAATATTATCTAAAAAAAACTCCAGAAACTGCGAAAAACACTACATTAGAAAGATGTATCACCCTTTTCGCATCCATCTACATGAACATAAACTAGCAGACAGATAACTGGGGAAATGTGAAAATACTGGATAGAGGAAATACAAAGAATGCCAGAGAATTTTTAGAAGCTTGGTATTCAGGTCCGTCAGCAATCAACAGACATATTGACATTGACTCAATCTACCAACTAATAAGAAACAACAAGAAGGTCAAATTTTAGGTCATCGAGACAACGAATCAAAAAATACATGGAAACAATGACAAGACCTTGGCGGGAACAACCAACCACGCACAGTGCCATCGGGACAAGTCACCAAATAAATTATAGAGAGAACCTTATCACTCACTTCTTTCTGAAGTTTGTGCTGATGATGTAGCCTAGAATGACAACGAAAGCTCCAATATTAAACATCCCAGTTCAGAGAATAAAAAACTATGAAAGGTAGCTATGGTGAACTCATAGGTCCAGTGGATAACGCTCCAACTTTTGAAGCAATCGGCCCTGGTTCGAGTATTAGTTGGAACAACATCACTCACTGGGAAGCAGGTACATCCAGTTAAATGGTCCTAGATATCACTGCTAGCCACGATTCATAAATAATGTCAATACCGAATATTTCTAGTGTTTCAAACGATGATGTGTTATTTTGTTTCAATTTTAGCCTATTTTCGAAGGAAATGTCAATAAGTTCACTCAGTCTGTGAGGATGTGAAATGTTCACGATGAAGAGTTATCAAAACTAGGAGAATACCGAAAAACCACCTGTAATTTAAAACAAACAAATATCTCAAGGAAACTAAATATACAAGGAATAAAGTATATGAGAACTCAGTAAATACAACTCAATTAAACTCACACAAGCTTTTCTACTTAGATTAGTGATGACCGCTACTAATACTCAGCCGCTTAGACCGATAAAATGCAACCTATTATATGGGTCGCACCAAATCTAGTAACAACCCAAAGCATAATAAAAGGAAATAAACCCAATGTTGATAATTGAAGTGGCTGACAGAACAGTATGAAATACGAGAACGATACGAACGCAATAAGACACTTGGTTTGGATGCGAATAGCAACTGTTCTCCCTCATAAATTCATACTTCATTGGGTTGCGAAAACAATGAGATTAAAAAAAACCCGTCTGAGACTGTACAAGAAGACACTACTCGACAAAATACATGTGTTGTTGTCACCAGCATATAAAACCACTAGGTCAAAAGTTGGATAGTTATTTTGATTGGTCAACTGCAAGAAAAATTGTCCAATAAAGTTTTTCCAACCCACACAGTAACATGAAACAAAGGTTGAAATCCAAAACTCCTACTTTAGCGCATGATGACTTAAAATGTTGACTTCCACTTAGACAGCTTTCTATCAACAATCGAACCTAATTTTACACTCATGAATGGAACGTTGTTAGTGAAAGCGATGTGTTGGTAGGTACGATCTCATTAACTCAGTAAAAAAAACATCGCCTAGACTAATAGTTCACTAGTTACTGGAGGGTCCTAAGCCCGGAAGAAGAGAGAAGGTTGGGCATACGGCTAGCAACCCCACCCCGGAAAACCAATCCAATCGCTAAAAAAACTTCAAAGCACAAAAAAATATATATAATAAAAATAAACTTATTCCCCACTGGAATCGTAGACAAAATGAGGCCAGTTGATGAAAGCCGTCGAGAAGCCAATAGGCCGATATATCTTTTCTTCTCTTGATGCAAGCTAAAGTAAGCATGGGGACATGGAATGTTGGCACGATGTTTGAAGCTGGCTAGCAAGGCTGACCAGATTGCAAAAGAAATGAGAACATATAGCATAGAAGTGCTAAGAATCTGCAGATGGAATGGAAGTGGACTCTCCAAACTGTCAACTGAAGAGTCAATAATCTACTCCGATATCCTCATCCAGACGACAACCACGAGCACACTGAGTTTTCGAGTGGCTATCATGATATCCTTAACAGCATCGAAGGCTCACATGCAGTGGGAACCGATCTCCTTCAGGATCATAATAGCAGGATTCAAATCAAAAGGAAAGAAAGTTACAGTCATACAATGCTACACTATGGACCCACAAATAATGCAGATACGAACCAAGAGAAGAAGGAGGAATTCTATAGACAACTGCAATCAGCACTGGACTGGACAAGCCCCACCCACATGGAGACATCAAAATTCCAATGGGTGGGATGACATGAATGCCAAACTGGGAGCAGGCAACACAGAAAGAGGACCAATCATGAGTGGAGAAACACTCGGTGAAGTGATGAATTAGAATGGAGAACTGTTTGCAGACTTGTGAACATTTAGTGATTTGGTGATTGGAGGCAGTGTGTACAGGCACAAGGCAGCGACATGAATTTGTTTCCACCAGATACCAGACACACTAAAAATCAGATCGACTTCATCTCAATCTCAAGAAAGTGGAGATACGGACTGCTGGACACAATATCAGATCACGAAGAAGAGCAGATTAAGTTCACATCACTCACAATCTAGTACAAGGAGCCTTCCAAATCAAGTTGAAAGTCTTCAAAGAAGCTGGTGATGATAGACCATAGTTCGAGTTCAACACCCTAAACAGAAACCGAAGGACGAAACTACAAACAACATTTTCCCGCCAGCCATCCGCAACATCCCTGAAGAAACCTGTGTGGAAGAACACTGGAACCCTTTGAAAAAGATGTGGAAATAAAAAACCTGGACAACCGTGTTGAGAAGGAAGAAGAAACAAGACAAGGAATGAATCTCTACGGATACATGGAAGCTGATAGAGCAGGGAAAGGAAGATAGTGAAGCAGAAGATGAACCAGTGTAGTGCATCGATGAACAACGAAAAGAGGAACTGAACACGACCTATAAAACACTGGACGAAGAAGTGAGGAGGATTGCACGGAAAGATAAAAGAAACTTCTACGGCACATTGGCAAGTGAAGCAGAACAGGCTGCTGCAGGTAGGAGAGACCTGACAACATTGTATCAAATAACCAGGTTACTATCTGGGAAGAGATCAACACATGATACTAATGAAAGATAGTGGAGAAAACCTAATTACCAAAGAGGAGAAACAAAGAAAACAATTGGCTGAACACTTCAAAAAACTCTTGAATCAACCACCACCACCACCAGCAGCAACCGCAGAATTACCAGTGAACACAAGCCCACCAACAAAAGCCGAAGTCCTGAACGCCATAAAGTTGCTGAAATCCGGGAAAGCAGCAGGACCAGATGGAATTCCACCAGAAACACTGAAAACAGACGCAAAGACAACAGCGAACATGCTCACATCGCTACTGCAGAAGGTTTGGAAGGAAGGAAGGGAAGGTTCAAGCCGACTGGAAGAAGGGCTGCCTTGTTAAAGTTCCAAAGAAGGGAGACCTAAGTTTTTGCAAGAACTGGCGAGGAATCGTGCTCCTGTCCACATCAAGCAAAATATTAAGCTGCATCATCCTAGAGAGACTAAAAAAAATCATGTGCGGATCAAATTGCAACGCTACGCTACGCATCATCATAGGACAGAGTATAGAACGACAGTCAACTCTCTACCTTAACTTCATCGACTGTGACAAGGCGTTCGACAGCATAGACCGAGAAATAATTTGGAAACTGCTTCAATACTACGGAGTACCACAAACCTTTATCAACCTCATTCAACAGCTATATGAAAACGCCACATACCAAGTGATTCACAATGGAAGCTCAGTGATGCCTTTGAAGACAATGGCTACCTACTATCACCGATGATATTCCTTGTTGTGGTCGACTGGATTGTGCAACAGACAACTGTGAGGAGGGTGAAGATGGGCAAACGCTGTTTGACAGATGAAAAGACCCTAGGAGATTTGGATTTCGCCGATGACTTGTGTCTAATGTCACACAAACTTTAAGATCTACAGGCGAAAACTAACAAGTTGGCAGAAGAGACAGTGAAGACGGGACTTCAAGTGAATGTAGAGAAGACAGAGGTGATGAAGATACCCGACCAACAACAACAACAAGCACCAATCACTATCAACGGGAGAAACCTAAAGGAAGTTGTCTCTTTCACCTACCTACCTATGACGCATCGTCTTAACTACAGGTGGCGGCACAGACGAGGACGTCAAAGCCAGGATCGGAAAAGCAAGACAGGCCTTCATTCATCTGAAACCAGTGTGGAGATCTACTGCATTAGCATAAAGCGTGAACAAGATTCGGATTTTCAACACTAACGTCAAGTCAGTGCTTCTATGTAATGGCTCAGAAACTTGGCACGTCATGTAAAGCATTTCCAACATTCGTCAACAGCTGCCACTTACGCTCACTCGATACTGAAGATCAGATGGTCAGAAAGAATAAGCAACAAGGAACTTTGGGAACGAACCAACGAAGAACCTGTCGCCCAACAAATATGCAGAAGAAAGTGGAGATAGATAATAAAGTGATAAAATTCATAAAAAAGGCATCAGAATTAAGGATATATAAATTAGGAATTGAAATTACAAAGGAGTAAAATGGATCTCTACCCACCTTAGTACATATTGTCGAACGACATGACTGCAGGACGTTTCTCAATGCGGAAAACACTACACAAGCCTTTAAAAAGTATAAGAAAATAATGTACGAGATTAAGAGGTAATGTTGTATAAATGGGTCTATGTCGAACCCAGTAGTAAGTATTATCATTATTATTATAATGCAAACTTAAGTTATTAGCGCCGCACAATACTCTTGCAGATAGTATCATCTGTGAATGATACGAACAGTTGTAGAACCACTGATGATCAGATACATGTATCTTTAGACCACTCGTTGGTAAATGCTCTCTGGTAGTTATATAACACAATAAAGTGCAGTGTCTCACAGTACACACTTAGAAAACCACTGGCCATTTCATCATGACTTGAACAGATTTTGACTGAATGTTAAAAAAAGTGTTCTGTATGAATGATGAATAGTCATCAGCGGATAATTCATTAAAAATGATAAAATTTTGTATAATTTTGTATTTTGTACAAAACTACTCAAGGTTGGCAAGTTTACAATGAACCTACACTCTGATACTGTAGTACTGAAGTAAACAAAAAGAGTTTAATGGAGATTATATGAAATTTTCCTCAGAAGTCCTCAGATCATTTCAATTCAGTAGTTAGATATCATCAATGAAATGTCTAAAAATCGATTGTTATCTTCAAAACCACAAATATCCTGTTAATGTTTACTTACTTGTTTTTTCTCCCTTAACACTTTGTTTGCTGAATATATCTTTCTACTTCTGTTGATTTCCTCACTATGAAAGTTTCTACACTGATCTGTTTGTCAACGCTGTCAAGGTATGATAACTTAAATCTATGCACTTTTGTTTGAGACTTTATCTTGCTTTGCCTGTCTATCCACCACCTACTGATTTAAAGTTGAATATAGACAAGCCAAAGAGTACCAACTTGAGTACGCTATTCAGTAAAGAAAGAAAAGTCGAAATATAGTAGCAAACGTACCTCATAGTTTAATAAGGCACTAAACAGGTATTATGCAGTAGCCTGCTTAGTAGCTAGCAGTGGAATCCACGATGCACTTTTCGTCCTATTTGGGACTCATCAGCTGGATATGTCTGGACCCCAGTGAGTGATGCTATTTTCACTGAGACTCGGATCTGGTACCCATCGCTTTAAACTCCAAAGCGTTAACTACTAGGCCACAAGGGCATACAGGCTCCTATGTAGATCCTGGTTTGAATTATTTTTCAGCAGTCTAACTGTAGGATAGTCTTCTTAAACGGATTAAAAAGCAAATTGTAACGAGCTAAACAACAGATTATTACATCTGTTTATTCACTTATACCTATCAACTTACAGTGGTTACAACCTGTTATCTGCATATAGTTCTATCATAAATTTGAAGCCAGTCCTATTCAGCAAGCTTGATAGTTACGATGAAATGTAACAGCTAAAGGTTATAAAAAAACAAGGAGATTGAACTGATAGTGACTGAAAAGTAGACAAAATATAACATAGTTCTTTTTCCAGTCCAATAAACACTTGAAAAATATCAATTACTTGGAGAAATTCTAACTTAAATATCAAACATGACACTCACTTTTAAAATACAATATAATACGGATATGAAGATTCTTCCAGCTAGAACTCCTTGCAATTGCCAATTGAATTCCATTAAAAAGTATATCCAAAAAACTCCAGATGGTATATGTCTCAAGAGTAAAAATATGTTTTCCAACAGACAAAGTAATGAACCCTAAAAACGGAAAAAGATAATAATTTTGGACATATATATAGGGTGCATAGTATGATAATTCAGGATATCACTATTTAAGATAGTCATGGTTTGGCAAACTAGTATTCATACTGAATGATAATTGAAGGTGGAATGAAAATGTAGGCCACCATGGTCGGATATGAACCAGCGACCACCACATTTCTGGTCCCGTGGTTTACCAACTGACACTCGCTGCGCCCCATCGGCTCCCATAGCTCAGTTGGTAGAGCACAAGATCAGAAACCCGGTGATAGCTGGTTTCAATCCTGCCGTAGCTCAGATTCTCATTCTAATTTCAATCATCACACAGTATCAATTCAGGATATGTACATATCGAAAGGGAATGCATTTCTCATATATATATATATATATATATATATATATATATATATATATATATATATATATATATATATATATATATATATATATATATGGAGCCTAGGACTACCAGGTCTCAGCATGTCGCTACTGGGTTGATCCACTTTTCCCATCAGAAGAAAAAATGAGTCAATACGAAAAACAAGAAGTTAAGCTCGTGAATATCGATCTTTTAAAATAATAAACAAACAAACAATACATACACATAGTGTCAGAGATGAATCTAACAAAACCCAGGTTTGTTTTAGACATAGTAAAATAATTGTCATAATGTACATTAACCCGATTCATGCGTTTATACACTAGACTATGAGCTATTTTCTTTTGGTTATATCTTGACAGTTCGGATGTTACAATATCTGCTACCTGTGAAGTCTAGTGCTGATAAAATGTCGAACGAAAATCTGGGATATTTACTTCGGTAACGAGGTAAATAAAGTGTAGCTGCGTGACAAATAAAACTATAAATGCCATCCACATTTTACATAGGTATACTTAGGCAGTCAACAGAAGGAAAGACAGCAAAGCAACAATAATAATAGCAGTGGTCGTAAGAAGCTCTAAGAGATAAAACGAAAAACGAATATGATACGATGTGATGACGAAAGGTGAAATGAAAACCTTCAGTGTGGTAGGGTTCGAACAAGCAGCACACGAGTTACTGACTCGGCGTTCTACCAACTGAACTAACTAGACCCGGTTGGTAACCAGGTCTTGACCTCATTTTAATCAGTGAACTTTTTGTTCAGCTGTCATGTAAATGAGTGAAACATAACTGACCGTTTATTTTAGCCACACTACATGTCTATCCATTTCTTTTCATCACAATCAAAATCGGGATGAATGAGAGAGTTGCACTAACTGTGACTGAAGCTATCTGTGCTTGGCCAGACTGGTACTATTAACAGTGTGTGACGATTAGAGGTGAAATGTAAATCTAGATCGTAGCCAGGCAAAACCGTCGGTGATTGACGTCAAGATCTGGTCATCAACCAGAATCGTTATTCCTTCGACATTGAGTTGTTCGGACTTTTTGCATAAAATATCGTATAGGAAATCATTGTAGAATCCACAATCTCCATCTTGTGAGAAATGGTAATGCATTCATGCAGATTACTATGGTTCATTCCTAAACTTTATATATGGTGGACTCTTATTTCAAATGGTCAGAAGTAATACTTAGAGTCACCCCTATGTGAAATTCGCACAGAGCGATGAGGAAGATTTTAAGTGTCTTAGCCACTGATTACAGGACTTATTTTACCGAAAACTTCAACGACTGCCTTAGAGACACTGGTACCATCATTTATGTACAGCCCCATATCACCTTCAGTCAAATGGGTTGACAGAAAACTTCGTACAGAAATTAAAGTCCCATAACATCTGTAAATCTAAGTAATTAAGAGGAACTAGAAAAGGGTGTGAATAATTTCCTACTTCGGTATCTGAGTGCAAAACATACAACTACTTATGAAAGTCCGGCTAAATTCTTCAAATTCAGAATTCTTCGGACACATTTCATGGCTACGACATCAGTGAATGTACACTACTGTTGATGAAATGATTATCCACTGTCAGTGGGAATTACATTACAGAAAATAAGAAAACGAATGGTGAAGGTTTGGGACTTAGAAGATTATTCTATTCACAACAGACCAGGTGGAAATCAATGAAGCAGATTGTTCTAAATATAATTTTGATCCCTTATTAATCCTAATCTTGTAGATAATTTTGAGATAGACAGATAATCCCATTGAAAATACAAATACAGAACAAGTAAGAATATCTGAGAGACCTACGAATAAACGTAGAGTTCATTAAGGACGTGCAGAAAGAAATCCAAAGTGTGGTGGATGTGGTAAATGACTATTTCAATTGTTGCACCATATCAATGTTCATTATTTGCCTCGATTAATTTTATTTACAGTATACAAAAGATTCCTCTAAATACGAACTCTTCACTTGTCTATTCAGAAGAATAGGAGGAGGAGCAGAAAAATCAACCGCCATTTGTGGATGTTTTAGTCAATAAAACTATCGCCGGAAAATTGGAAACTCAAGTGTACAGGAAGTCAACCCACATTGATCAAATCCTCAACTACAGTAGCACACATTGCAGTGCAACAAATTCGTGGAGAAACGAAGAAAATTACTTGATGTTTATCCTAAAGAAGAATGGCTATCCATGAAAATTTATCAGAAGATGCCTATCCCGTGCACCATCAACTACGAAGTCATCGATAGAAATCGATAAGGGCATCATCCTACCGTACTAAACGAATAGATAACAGATCACAACAAGATTAATGAGACCACTTGCAGTTAGTGTGGTTTAAACACCATTATGCAGACCAAAGGATGCAACAGCCGAAGAAGACAAACCAAATACCATTTACAAAATCAACTGTAATAATTGTGATCAACACTACATTGGACAAAGTGGTTGCCCCCTTCGCTTTCGTCTACAGAAACACCAATTGGCTGTTAAACGTGACGACATTTCATCGCTTATTTCAATGCATGTGGATAACTATGGACATGAGTTCGGTTTCGACAATGTAGAAATCTTGAACAGAGGAAACACAAAGAATATCAAAGAATTTCTAGAAGCTTGGTATTCAGGTCAGTTAGCAATCAACAGGTGCGTAGACATAGATCCAATCTATCAAACAATAAGAAAAATGATAATCGACAAAAAGATGAGGGATCAGAGAGAGAAACACCCGACAATAAAATCATTGCAGTCAATGATACACCGATCAAAGGAAACAACTAATCACAAACCATTTCGTCAGAGTAAGGTATTGAATCCCTCACAGGGAGATACTGACAGCTCACTTCAAATAAAAGTTAGTGCTGATATTGTCTACGAAGACAATGAAAACTTCACGATTAAACCACCCAGCTCAGAGAACACAACACAACGAAGATCATCTGCTTAAGCTACAAATATTCTTCCCCATTTCAGAATAGTTCAGTTTCCATTAACTCCGTGGTTGGCAAGTACAGTCAAATCGTCCATTACAGTTTCTTATCTTCCAGATGCAAACTGTTACTTCAGCGCTGGTAGGCATTAGTGATTTGTCTAATAATTGGAAGTGAAGTAGTTGGATGCGTCGACCACTTCACTTACTTGAGAAGGCAGATGAGTCCTGGTGGGTGAGTGACCAACGAAATCTCTACATGGACAGAAAACGTTCGACCAGCTTTCGTCGAACTACACCAATTATAGTGCAGACGGTTGCAATGCGCAACAGCTCACTGTGTTAGTACATGGCTGTGAAACATTGCCAGTAAAGACGAAAGACAGGATCAGGCTTCAGGTTTCAGACCACCATCACCTTCGTAAAATAGGAAGTTATGATGCCACCACGTCAATAAAGCTAAAGTCTGACAGTTTTGCGTAAATGAGGTAAATCAAGTGATGAGCTTGTGAACTTCCCCAGACCCAAATAACTGGGATGTGTTATGTATACTCAGTTACCGTTCGCCCGTCACGCAATGTTAGCTGATGTAGGTTCAGGCTAGAAGCAGGTAAGAGGAGCCCAGAATAACACATGGTACCAGTTGAAGTCCTTAGTTTTTGGTTTGAGCAGTGTGGGGATACACAAACTTCCCTGTAGGGTCCATGTGACAGCCAAGATGCGTGTTTGGAGGCTCTAGGCAATATGGTCCGGAATCGATTACAGAGGCGTAGATGCATCTAGACATTATCTTCATCTTAATTGTCATAAAACATTTCATGATCTGCTTTAACATGTTTTTTTCCCCTCATGAAGTTCCATGACTCTTGATTATGTTTCTTTTATATTTCTGTCTCACTACCGTGCATCTTGATAATTGATATGGAGACTTTGATCGTAATGCAGGATTGTCAGGTCTCATACTGATATTAACTGACTACCTACTGTTGCTTATCACCGCTCCATACTTCATTTTTTTAACTGCCACTGGTCATTGTTCACAACCATTTAGTGTACTTTAAAGTCTGCAAACAAGTTGGTTGGACTTCTAACCATAATAAGGGCCTGTTGGGATTTGTTCTTGTACATCCAGTAAACTAAGACCCCTGTGAATTGTTCTAGTAATTACCTTAAATTCGTGGTCTCTGTCACTACTTTGACAGCAGACTGTAGGTAATAATAAACTACCTCAGGATGATTAGTGCTGTCCTACTCGGTTAGCCGTTTAGTCAATTCCTCTGTAGACACATCCTAGATACCTTTATGTTTGAGCTGAAATTGGGAACATTTAGTGGTTTTTATACACTCAGTACGGTGTTAAAACATGAGTGCTCTAAACAAAACATGATCACAACTCAGGCATTCGCTTGGTGAGGTGTGGTAATACTCCACTGATCCTACGATGAATTACAGCAACAGCGTTTATCTATTTCTACTGATGGAATGAGATAGTGACTGGTGTGTTATAGACTGGCTTTTTGAACCTGAAAACAGTAACAGCTATGAACAGATGGTTTACAGAACACACTAGGTTCATTTATAGACACATAAACAGGGGCTAAATCGACGAAAAACCTCGCGCAGAAGTACGTCTATCCAAGTTGTTAAACTTAGCAGCAATATGAAGAAAACAAG